TACCATGTCCCACATGTTGTCTTTGACAGCCCAGTACGTGGAACGTGACTTTGTCTGTGTTGCGGGTAAATTCCTGCAGATTGGTAATTTTATTTTATGCTTCTTGTGAATGTATCTAAATATGGGCTGGAAGGTGTTAGTGTCCTGCTGCACGTGCTTCCAGCTGCCTTATGTTATGGGACGATTCCAGATGTAGCAAGTTAAATCAGCACAACAGTGCTTGTTGGAAGGCATGTTTGAAATGTTTCGTATAACTTGGGTAAAGCAAGCTGATAGCAGTGTGTATGGTAACCTTGTAAGTTCAGAGGCACCGAGTGTCTCGGTGGGAACTCTTTTGATTTCCATACTTGGCCTCAAAAGTTATTTTGCAGGAGTTCTATGGAAGTCAACTTTTTATAAAAACACATAAAACTCATCTAGCTGTTTATAAAGAGAGACTGTTTGTGAGGCTTTGTTCAGAAGCAATTTTTGTTTGCTGATGTTTCTCTTAGGACTGTGCATCTTAAGAAATGCATTTTCTGTTTCTCATCAATAGAAAACAAGCATTTTAAGCAGACCTACTTTTGTGTTTGAATTAGTTTTATAAGCAAAGCAAGGGAGAGCTCTAGTTGTTACCAGAATCACATTAATTTTTTTTTCCTATTATGTCAGTTCTAGGAAAACATGCAAAGAAACCAAACCACCAAAAAGCTATGTTTCCTCCAGATATAAATATTTCTATTTAAAATGGTCAACATGAAAACAGAGTGCCTAATGTGAGTAGTAACGAAGTTGAAAAGCCTAGAAAGTCCTGTAGTGCAGCCAGTTTCACTTGCATTGGTATTGAGCTTTTAGACATCTGACAGGAGAGACAGCAGAAGTACTGCACTTTTTAGTGATGAGGGATATCCAAAGTAAATGATTGCTACATATGCTGCAGAATCCATTCTTTTGTTATTGTTAGCCTTAAGCAAACAATAAATGCATTGTATGCTACATGCCTGACTAAAGTCTTAATAAAGGAGTTTACTCTCAGTAAACATGGCAAAACTAGGGCTGTATTGAAAATGGCATCAGGATTAGTGGTGTTGAAATGCGAGGAATTTAATTCTTTTCCAGTCTCCTTGAGGAACATATTCTCAAATATTAGAAACAGAGCACTAAGGGACTAAGGAGGGAGTTAAAAGTGCTGTGAGTTTGAGTTGAAATTAAATTTTCTCTTTCCAATGGGAAAACTAAACCAAAAGTAGTAGTGTTAAACTTTTGAGCGTGCTACTCTAAAACACTGTCAACAAGCACTTGACGTGCTTGTTGTCAAAAGTTAGTTACTTGCATTTAATGCCTCCTATATTTCAACTTTATGTATCATGTTAAAGGGCTTCATGTTATCAGAAATGAATCAGCTCTGTGTATCAATTTAACAAGCAATTGTTAGCAGAGGTATTTTGTTCACTGTTCTCAAAAAAGCCTTCAGTAAAAGAATTTTTCACTGAAGGAAAATCCTGATCAAGACTACAGATATCTTTCATATATAGACATCTGTGCATGCACTATTATTTTAATTTGTACTTTCTCTTCTTTCTTTTTCCCCTGCTTGCCTTTAAGCTAAAATAGGTTTTTCACTTTCTCCTTGGGTAGCCAACATAGATGAAGATCGCTTCCCAGGCTTTCCTTCATCTGATGTTGCTGTTTGCTTCCGATGAGGACCGGAAAAGAGGTTGGGATAACTTATTATGGCAAAGGAGTCATCCAGATGCAGCCCTCCTGGTGCACGTGGCGCGGGAGTGCTGCAGAGTCTTCCTTACTGCCTCGAGGAGTCAAAGGGAAGCTGCCCGCTGCTGTGCACTTGGCGCACATGAAACATGGGACATAAACTGATGGTTTCCTCTTAGCTGTGCGTCTCATCCAAGGCTGCCAAAATCCACGAGTGCTTCAGCTCTCATTTGAAAGATCTCTTTCTCCATACCGCTTCCAGCTCTTGAGTCGTCTTGTTTTCTGCGGTCCAAACTTGTTATTGGGCCACAGCACTTAAGTAAATTTTCAAATTGACCTCATTATATTTTTGAGTTGTTTCCAGAGGAAGTTCAGTAGTCGCTTTGAAGAGCACAGATTACAGTGTCAGCACCAGTACTTACCTTGGTGAGACTTTCAGATCCATATTTCATCCCCAGAGTGATCTATTTGATGAAAGTGGGAAACAGTTAAATGGTAGTATTCTAAGAATGGTTTGTGCAGACCATCTTTTCTCCTTTTTCCTTGTGATTACCAGCCTGACACATGCTGTTTTCTCTTCCTTGGGAGGTTCAGATATGGCTCTACTCTCTCAGCTCCTCTCTTCCTCCCTTCCTTGCTGCATGGAAACTGTTGAGGCTGTAAAAGTAACTCCTCTCTGTGCACAGAAAATAAATTCAATTTTGGGGCTTGTGATCAGACTCCATTATCAGTTTTGCCAGAGTTGACTTTTAGAGATAGTTGTGTTATATGAACATGATAAAAATCTTGTGGTCAGCTAATGAAAACAGTGGAGAGTATTGTTTTATAGCTGTTAAGTCATTCAGAATCTTTTGTGGTGGTGAAGTAATAGTGATATGAGGCAACAGTGATGAAGAAAATCTAATCTTGCTTCTGTTCTCTTAGCTGTGATGTCCAAAGTGGAATATTTCAGTGACGCTTCCTCACTCAACAAGAAGCTATTCATAATTAGTTTGAGGCAAAAGAAAAATGCTTTGGCTGTTTTGTAAAAAGTCTTAGGCAGATATTGAAGTCATATGACAAACCAAGTGTTTATTGCTTCTTTTTTTTTTTTTTTTTTCCTTCAGTCTGTCTCAAATCCCGGAGCACTAGTAGATCATGCTGTTCAAGCCACATTGTAGTGTCTTACACTATGCTGTTGCTATCTTTAGTTGCCTGCCTCTTATAGTAGAGCTTGTGTGTAAATCTTAAATCCAGACATATATTTTAGCTTGATCACAAGCAGTCTGTCTGCTTGGCAGTCCCCTCCCTTTCCTGCTCCCCCAGGAGCTTCTGGATCCTTTGGCCAATTTCAGGCCAAGCCAAAAATAGCTGGGTAGTGCTGCATTTTGCGAAGCTCGGGGGGCAACCGGGGTGGCCGCGCTCCCCGTGCCATCTCATTGGTGTCGGAGCAGTTGGCTCGTCCTTGTCGAGGATTCCTACCTGGAAAGGAGCTGGGGATCGGCAATGCCTGTTGAGTCAGTGGGAGCTCAGGGCGCTCGGTTTCTTGAAAAATCAGACCTTCAGAAAGTCAGGGCATACAAGATGTTTGTGCTTTTACTTCATGAAACCCTTCAGAAAGGGCATGAGGCTTACTATAAATGACGAATTCAGACGGGAAAACAAAAATGTCCTGACTTATTCTTGGCACAAAGTATTTAATAATGACATTTAGTCTAAGAAAATGTGCAGACTCTCAAGTGTTGCCAATTTATTTTGCCCACAAACCGACAACAGAATGATGATGTGCACACAAAGGTTATTTATTTTGAGCACAGCCAGGGAATGCGACTGTTTCAAATGCTTCCTTATTTCTGCCCTCGGGATCTTTTTTAGTATGTTGCATAATATTTTTCTGTATTAGGGGACTGTGAGATAGACATGGTGTGTCTCTTCTTTACTTGAATATACTGGTTATGTTTTCTCTTTCCTTCTTTGAAGGAAATGCAAGCAGAGAATGAATAGTTTGAACAGTGTTAAATTAAAAAGCATAACTTCAAAGGCCCTTCTAACAATTTATTCTGAAACTATCAGCCAACAGATGACGTTCCAAGTAAAATAACTAATTATGTGGGAGATTGAGCAAGCATTGATTTAGTTCTTGATTGCTTGGACTGGTAGGTAATTCTTTAATAGCAAGAAGAAGAATATATGACTTAAATTTCTGGACTTGAGTCCAGATGGACCCTCTTCTGAGGGCAAGTTTCTTTATAACCTGTAATAATTCTCTTGAAAAATGCGAAAGCCACTTGGATATTTTCTTTGGACCTTGGCTGACTCTTTCAGACACTCCCCATTAGAGACTGAGAAAAAGGGTAAAGCAGGATAAGGGAGTGCCCCAATGAAAGTATTTCAGTTCTTGCAAACTTATGTTAAGTTAGAATAGCTTTGCTCTTACAGAACATAAGGGTGCTTATCTGGAATATCGGGCACAATTTGACAGTGATCATATTACTGGGAAAAGACAGTGGGGCTTAGTGGGCCAAACATCACCACCTTCTGTCTGTAGCGCATGATGAGGTAAGACTCAATACACATAACTTCAGCGTTTAGCATGTGGAGATAAAATTCTTCTGCATGCACCAGAGCACCTAACCCTTTTTTGTTTTGGCAAGAGAGTTAGAAAAGGGGGAGCTCTCTGGGGTTACTTTTCTGTTACTTCAATTCTGGAGCAGTTTGTGATAACGCTCCGGCTTACCCTGTTTTCTGCGTTTGCTCATGGCAAGAGGCCTGACTACTTGGGCCAATTCTAAATTGCTTTGGCTAAACTGTGATCCTCACTTGTGTAACATGAGAAATTTCCCCAGAATAGCATTGACTTTTGGCTGCAGGTTTGTAAGGATCCTTAAGACCAAAACATTAACGGAGAAGTACTTGCTGTGACTTAAAATTCTGGTTAGGAAAAGCATCTGACTATTTGTTTGGTCTTAAATCTATTACCTAGTGGCTGTCACTGAACAAAAGTTAAGGAAATCCTCGGGTTCAGGGGGAACCAGTTGTTCTTGAAGTAGTAGACTTGAGCGTGTAGGGTTTTCAGAGTCGCCTTTGTGAAGTGCGTGTTATGTTATATGCTATGTATGTTATATGTGTATGTTATATGCTATATATGCTAGTATGTTATATTGATTTTTAACATGCATCTTGAATGTCGTTGCTAACTTTTATTTTGCACCTGGTTGTTTGGCCATATGCTGCGTTTCCGTGTTCATATTGGCTGCGTGTGCAGTTTTGTGTGTTTAATTTTATTAGGCAGAACCTGCTTTAACACAACCTGTATTTATCTTTTTTAGGAATAACGTGCTTGGAGGTACTTGGTAGCATTGGTCACCTGTACCCCAGCGCGAGAGCTCCAGCTTAATTCTTCTTACGTGCTTCTCAGAACATGGGGGAAAACGATGATGAAAAATACAGTCAAGCTGGCCAGATATTTGAAAACTTTGTACAAGCTTCAACGTGCAAAGGTACCATTCAGGCCTTTAATATTCTCACTCGTCAACTTGAATTAGACCCTTTGGACAATAGAAACTTTTACACCAAGCTGAAGTCAAGAGTGACCACATGGAAGGCCAAAGCTTTGTGGAACAAGCTTGATAAAAGAGCAAGTCACAAGGAGTATAAACGCGGAAAATCTTGTATAAACACTAAGGTAAGTGGAAAAGTTCAGTTTTGGATTTGATAGTTGATACCTTTTAAATGTGTTTTTCTGCAGAAGCAAGATTTCTACTATCACATGCAATATGCCCATTCATGTAAGCCTCCCCTTAACGTTCTTTTTGAAACTGTGGCTGATATCAACACGTTTTGGCAAATTTTCAGATATTTTTGTTCCTGCAAGTTTTGTGGAAACACAGAGCAAATAGAGAGGTACTAAAATCAATCATTCTGCTTTACAAAATGCTTCAATAATGGCAAAAAAAACCTCTATGCCTTTTTAGACATCAGATGTAAATTCATTCATTCAAGGCTCCCAAGAACTATTTGCTTTACTAAAAAGAATTTTGCGGCGTGCAAGTCATGCTGTATTCAGCAGGTTGCTTTGTTCGCTGCTTGGTGCGCTGTCTGAGAGCAGGGGTGGCCAAATGTGTTTCATTCAGCTCTCTGGGAAGTGCTGGTTGGAGACTTGGGGATCTGTCTTTGTTGCGTAGCGTTGGCTCTAGTTGCCAAACAACAGCAGAATAAATTCCGTTGCTATTTAAGGATTTAAATACTTTCCTATAATTGTTTTTTCACAAGCACAACTTCTGTAATTGCTGTGTGGTTGCTATTGAAGGAGGTGGCCTGCTTGGCTGTGAACAGGACAGCAACCGCTGTTTTCTTTAGCAGAAGACAAAATGTCATATTTTGATAGTGAGAGCCACTGAGTGTTGGTATAAATCTTATTGTAAAAACTGTACAAAATACTTTAACTACTTGTTCCCTCTGTTCTGTGGTTGATCATTTGTAATGGCTTTTACTCAGAGCAGCTTGCTAATTTGCTAAAAGTTGCCCCAAGAAGGTCCGGTTTTAAGAAGCAGGTTGAATGTATGGAAGTGGGACAGAGAGGAAGGGCACCCCATGGAGTCAAACCCCATGGGCCAAACCATGGAGGACTTTTTAATTAAAACCATCGTTAAAGTGTTATTTTTATGGACTCAGTAGAAGGGCAGTGTTGAAAGTCTTTTTCTCCTTGTTTTCTTTCTTGAATTGAGACTTCCCAAAAGCATCAGGGAAAAGGATGCTGTATTACTTCCTGTACATATAGAGTATCTGGGATTTTGTTTTGTTTATAAGCACCCGATGATTAACTTTTCTGAGGTAATAAACATTCCTGCCTTCAGAAAATGAATACCACTGTTACAGCTATTCGCATTGCTTTCCTGGCTGCCTCCTGCTTCTTTGTGTTTGCTTTTTCCATCCCTTTCTCCCATCGCTTCCTTTTGACCTGGGCTTCCTCCCTCCTTCTTATTCTTTTGAAAAGCCTCTCAAACATATGTCATCGACTGTCTTTGTGGTGAAAAGAGACCAGAAAGTGAAGGAATGAGAAAGTATCTGCTGATTAATAAATCATAAGAGAGATGCCACATTATTCCCCCTGCATACAGCCCCAGGTCCAAGTTTCCATTGTTAGCTTGAGGAAGTATTTGCAACACAAGCAGTTTTAAGGCCATGTATGAGATATAAAAATTAACCCCGGCTTTCTAAAGTGTGAAGCTACAAAGCAAGGGCCTGGTTCTGCAAAGTCCTTAAAGTGATTAATTTTTATATAGGGTGAGAAGACTCGTGGAAATTAAGTGGGTACATAAAGTTCAGCCTCGTAAAGTTTTACAAGGTTGCGGAGCAGGAGGCTAGTCAACACCTCCTGCAGTGTTGAAAGTATGGTATTTTTGCTCCTCAAGGGTAAAGATTTATCTTCAGTGGCGGAGTGTAAATACTTGAAGAAATTACTGGACATACCTATGTTGCACATATGATCAAATTGCAAATGAGTATAAAGTATCTGTATATAGACAGTGTGCGTATAGATATTCCATGAGCTACTTGTAGGTGGTCATTATGAACCTCGATCTGCACTTCACTGGGTCATCGTTGATTTAAGGAGAGAGATATGAATTTGAAGGTTGCTGCAGGTGTGCGCAGTACGGCAATCTATGGGCTCTGTGAGGATGTCCACCAGGCAGGTATTCCTCACTTGTGAATCGCTGCCTGCCCCAGGAGCCTGTCTGTGCTGTGTGGGGAGAGGAGATGCTGGGGGCAGATGTCAGACTCCCTCATCACTGCCCTGCTGCACTCTTGACAGACCAACTTGCAGATAAGGGATTTCCAGAGACGCTAGTATCCCCCCAAAAGTGCCAGTTTAGAGACATTGGGCCACAATACGCATAGCACCATTATCCTTTGGTGCAGCTGGCAATTTAATATTTGTAAGATTCATTACTTCCTGCATCTTATGCAAACTAATGTTTTTAATAGTGGTGTGGGCACACTGGAGTTCAGCGGACTAAACGCTGACAGCGGTGCCTGCCACTGACTGCTGTGGAGTTGCTCAGGTGGACTGTGCCCCAGAGTTTCCGCTGAAGGAAAAGGATGGGCTGAAGTCGATGAGCTAGAGTAAAAACCTGAATTGTTAAAGCAGGATCACAGAATAAGATAAGTGGCTTTTTGTGATTGCAGTTCTGTAAACAGAGCTGAGGTTGCTAATAGCCATCACTTTTTTTTTTTTTTTTAAAAAGACTCAAGGCTTCTTCTGAGGTTGTGGCCATGAGCACTATAATGGATTCGGCAGCACGCCGGTCTTTTCAGGTGCAGCTTTGCAATTTGTCAGGCTTCTTGCAATCTTCCCCAGTCTTTGCAAGAGATAAAAATGCAGTCAGGATCTAAATTACTCTTAGTCTTTTTTCACAAACACAAAATCTGTTACCTCACCCAATAACTGGTCGTTTTTCTTACAGGATTTAAGTGCTGAATGCTGTACTTGTTGATTTTTGTACGTACAAACTCTTCAGCAGCACTTAAGTTACTCTCATTAGAGCAATAATATACACACAAGTTTTATACATACAGAACGTTCCACTCCAACTAAATAACAATAATCCTGTGTCTCTACTGCTCTTGAAGAACATTGCCAAATACAGCTTTTAAAGTTTCTGTAGTGACGTGATTTTAAGCTGGATGAATAAAAACACTTCAACATTTTTCAAGAAGTTCAAACCCACTGCTGTTTCAGAGTTGCCTTACTGAGTAATGGACGTTGTTTTCCTCTTAATTTTTTATGGGAGAAACCAAAATAAAAATAAAGCTCTGTGGAAAGACATGCCCAAAAATTGGGGCAGAAAGGTTTGGTTGAAACTGGAGGAGTCCATCTGTATGTTAAATCTCTATCAAATACATCCATCCTTCTGTCACAGACTTGTAAAATTAGAATGAGTACTATTCTAAATTGCTATTTCTGAAGCTATTATTTGCTCAATTCACCTGTATTATAGAAAAATAGAAGTCTATTTGAAGTAGCCAAAACTCTAGAAGTCATTTTGTGCTTTTTCCAAATATGTCTGGAAAGAGCACAAATTTATTCCCCTGGCAAAGTCTCTCTCCTCTCTCACTCTTCTTCATCTTTTACTAGTCAATGCTGGGTAATGTGCTCGGAATCTGTAATGTTCATTTATTTCTTCATGAAAAGAAATATAGTTCGACAACTGGGGAAATTAAAGATTTAACATCTGTTGTTTGATGCACGAGCAGTTTGAATGTCTCTGAATTTTTGAACACCTTAAACATCAGAATACAGTAATAAAGACTAATTCTTCCAGCTCGTTGCAGAGTATATTCAATAGCCTTTTAAAGGCATATGTGAGCGATCGCTAAACTTTTATTTTGAACACCTCTGTTAGAAAGTAGACTTTTTAGGTTACTTCAGGCACTTGATTTATTCCCAGTGTACCTGTGTGAATGATGCAGATATATACACGCGCGTAGAAATGAGGCACCCACTGTTGTTTGATGTGCCTATGTCAGGGGCCAGAGCCTGGCTCCGGCTGTGCGTCTGAAGTGCAGGTGCCCTCGCGACTGCAGATCCGTGCTTGGAAAGAGCAGAGATGGCTGCACAGGAAAACACCCAGGCACTCTGGAGGAAAGCGTTCATTCTCGGGGAGCTAAGGCATGCAAATATTTTATTTTCAAATGTGTATGCTATTTTATTTTCAAAACACATGCTGACACTCAAGGAGAACTAAGGAAACTTGTTAAAAGTGCTAACACGTAATTATTGTAGTCTCAGTCATGTAATTATTAGGTATCTCAGTAGGCTCTAGCTTTTATCAGAAACTGAGCGTATCCAGAGAGGGACTGTATGTTTTTAATCCGCCTGGGTGGGGCTAGTGGCAAATTGGTGTGCATGCCTTTGGGTTTCGGAGTATTACCTTGATGCAGCCCCTATGTTGGGTGCTGGTCTTGGGCACAGGGACTGTTGCGTTTGAGCTGCTGGTCTGGAGGCCTGCAGGGAGAGTATCAGTATAAAGCAAATAAATAAAGTTGAGATAAGAAGTTTTGATTAGTGTGTGTATATACATACATATAAATGTGTGCATTTTATAATATACCACACACATATATATATTTGTATATATCATACAGATACCTGGAAGACAGGAGTCAGTTGTCCCTGCTGGGCTCTGTAGTTTTTCCTCAGTCCTAGACTTGGTCTTTCAAAGCTCGTCTTATAATAGATTTGATTCCTGCCCTCCCTCCCTCCCTCCCCAGAAATTCCTATTGGGAAACTTATTGCAAAAGAATGACTCAAACAATGATTTATGACCATATTTCTGAGGCTTGTGTTGCCTCAGGGGCTTGGGAGGCTACCGCCAGCAGGGACAGGTCAGGCAGGATGTGGCCCAGCCGGCGGAGGGGCCTTGTGCCTGAAGCTAGGAGAGAGGCTGCGCGCCTCTGTTGGGAGACAGAGGTTGTCCTCCCCTGTCTGTCCACATGTTTGCAAAGGCCATAGCAGTCAGTGACACACGCTGGCTTCCCCACGTGTCATCTCCCCCCTCTCCACCTTCCTCTGAGGTGCTAAACAAATACTTGACTCTTAATTGAGCAAAGCATCCAGCACGTACCAACCTGCTGGCTGAATTTCCTCCTGGAGCACTGGCATTTGTTGCTCCCTTGGAGGTA